TCAACTCTCGTCAAAGTCCGGATTTCAACCTCGAATACCAAAATCAGATAACTTTGGCCCTCAAACTCTTGAAACCGTTCACTTTTCAACCCTTTTCGGGCGATTTTGGTGGATGAACAGTAAATTTTAATATTTTTGGGAGGCGTCGAAATTTTATATTATTTTTTGAGCATCTTAACGTCCTCAAATAAAAAAACTCAAAACTACAAAGTTGTAGATCTCATTGAGAGCTATAACTTTGGTATAAAAAGTATTTTCATTTAACTCCATACAAATAATATATTAATGCTCTAATGCGGCAAGCGCTAGTAGGCGATTATTATGGTGCTGAAATTTTATATTATTTTTTCGAGCATCTTACTGTCCTCAAATGAAAAAAATTAAAACTATAAAGTTGTAGATCTCATCGAGGTCTATAATTTACATATAAAAATTATCTTCATCGGACATCGTATTGAAGGGTTTTTTATTTTTTAAAATTTGAGTCTCGTCACGAGACAAAACAATATTGTTCATCCACCAAAACCGCCCGAAACCGGCCCAGGGTTGAAAAGTGAACGGTTTCAAGAGTTTGAAGAGCCAAAGTTATCCGGTTTTAGAGTTCGAGGTTGAAATCCGGACTTTGACGAGAGTTGAAGGATATAAATTGGACTTTACCCTTGTTTAAATGATCAAACTGTGATAAAACCTCGAAGACAAAGCTCAGATAAAACAACATATTTCATTTCCGCATTCATCCCTAGAAGCTAGAAACAATGGCAGGGATGGCCACCAGTGGTGGTAGAGAAAGGTTGGGAATGTCCAAATGGGAATGGAAGTGGTTTGGAAATAAAAAATGATACGCGGGATTTACAACTTGGGAAATGTAAACTATTGAACGGGAGATTTTGTGCAGGAGGATTGTTGCTGATGTGGATGTATTTTGAGTAGCTGACAGTCGATACTCGTCACCCTCCATTGCTGCCTTCACGAGGGATGTGTCAGTCTCCAGAGTAACCCGAGCAATCCTCATGTTGGCCGCCGCTCTCAAACCTGCTAGGCACCCGATTGTTGAGCCTGCCCTATTGCTAACTCTGTTGTTGAGCCTGCCCTTACGAGGGATCACATAGGCCACGGCTTCAACACGTGCACAAAATTTCTCGTGTACTTAATGGCGGCTTCAATTCAGAGAGCCCTGTAACTTTTTAAGCCCTGTAACTTTCTAAACAAGGCCTAACGGCGCCCGAGGGCCAAGGCTAATCGGATGGGCCACACAGTTTCGGCCTGGTACAGTGACCGGGCCCCTTTCTGTTTCTGGCCCATCATCAGGTGCTCCGGCTTTCGGACCAGCTGTCTAACGTGTCGAACACTGAATATGGCTGTCATTATAAAGCCGGCTTATTAGTCATGATACAGTATTTTTTTCAATAAATTAATCGTACAAATCAGCACCAGCGGCTTATAGACCAGCCGAACAGAGCCTAAACCACACGAATAAAAGAAAACGTGTGTGTATATATATATATAAAAAAAAAAGCGCTGCATTGTGTTACCTGTCTAGCTACGAGGAAGAAAAGAACACTATGGAATAGACTTTGGCTTTATCCCTTCTCGCCGTACATGAGATCAGCCATATTCCTAGTTCGCAAATTTAACACTTTCAGTTAATTCGAAACCTTTGCAAGTCCAAGAGATATTTGTATAGTCAGTAGTGTAGTTGGTGATGACGACGACGACGTGAGGATTCCCTGGAAAGCGGGAGGGGTACAGCAGGTTGACGGGAGCATGCATCAGTGATGCACGAGTATAAGATTCCGCCGCCACTGCAAGCATGTCTGCATCGCGCGAGCGACTGACGACGATGCAAACCTCGCCGCCGCGAGCAGCAAGCTGGCCGAGGCCCCTTGGCGACTCGATCAGGCGCCCCCGCCTGCACCGCAACGTGTCTCCCAGTAGTAGGACTCAGGACTGCGCACTACAACAGCATGTCGCTGTACAACAGCGGCGAGTTCGTTCGGCCGTGCAAGGGCCGCCGCATCTCGGCAAGTTGCAAGGGCGAGGAGCCGGGGAGCGGCGGGGACCCTTCTTTTTCTCACAGTGCAGGAGACACTCATCATGACAGCAGGGAGAGAGAGCCATCTCCCTCCGTCGCCCATCGATCGGCATCGCAGCTGCAGGCAGGCTGCCACTGCGAATAGACCTGGCAGGACAGATGCCTTTCGTCATGCATCGCGATCCGACACTTACTGTTGGCAAAGCGGTTGGTTTACAGCGCGGACCGCATTAACACAAAACTCGTAGCTTCGGGTTTTCAATGCAAGAGGCGAGACAAGGACGCGTAAACATTCATAATTTCATATCACGGGCTGCATCAGTATGGGCACACCCACTTTGAATTGATTTCCATCAAAAGCAGTTTTTGAATTAATTGAAGCTCCCAGACCGTCCAGCGTCCATTGCATTCGATTCAGTCAATGTCTTATGCATGTTTGATGGAACCTGTGGCTGCTGCCTAAGGAAAAAAAAACTGTTTGGATGTTCTCTGTTAACTTGTTGAGTTTTGCCTACCAGACCTATAATGTTTTGTTTGAAGTAGATGCCTAATAAATTTTGATCATCATTAACTGTGAAGGAATCTTTACCATGCAACATTTTTATAATGCACACCACATTCCACACACCACTTGTGCACTACTAGACCTACAACTACACACAGATAGCAACCATGTCCTTCTAGAGATTACGGGGCCATCCATGGCTCCGTAGACGACGGGCACATCACAAATCCCTTTGTGGCTCCACGGGTGAAGCTGTAGACATTTATTTTGGGGACAACCCTGGTGGGAAAAATCAGGCTTTGTGGGTTCGAACACGGGAGAAGGTGGCCTAGACATTTATTTTGGGGACAACCAACGTTTGAAGTAGATGCCTAATAAAATCCTCATTAATTGAGAAGGGTTCTTTAACATGCAACCGGTGGCCTCCACATCACTTGTGCACGCTAGACCACCAACCGAGCTATGGCTCGGTCCCTTTACCATGCAACGTTGCCTTTTTTGCGAGACAGGCAAGAAACCAGGGCTACAGGAGTCAGCATCCAAAAACGCTACATGCCAGGCAATCTGTGCCTAGGATCGTAACCAAACAGCCCCATATCCTTGGAAGAAGAAAGAAGAAGAATAAATCGTTGCGAAGAAGAAAAATACAAATACCGGGAGATCGAAGCCTGGCACCTACCTGCAGCGTGCCACGAACTAGCCAGCCATTTGAAAAGTGCAGATGGACCGAACCTACTTCTGCTAGTTGCTTCAATCAAAGTCAGGTAGCCGATCGCGACACTACTGAAAAAGAACGCAGTCACGTGTCAACCATCCACCGTCGCGAAGCTGCAAAAATACAAATACCGGGAGATCGAAGCCTGGCACCTACCTGCAGCGTGCCACGAACTAGCCAGCCATTTGAAAAGTGCAGATGGACCGAACCTACTTCTGCTAGTTGCTTCAATCAAAGTCAGGTAGCCGATCGCGACACTACTGAAAAAGAACGCAGTCACGTGTCAACCATCCACCGTCGATCGGCTGCAGTGCCGCCGCTGCCCGCTGCGGTTGAGCTTGAGCACGCGCACGCCCGGACCCAACAACAACACCTAAAATACAAGACTTATTCATCATTTGGGTAGCGCTACAAGTCAAAATGTTCAATACATATTCGGCATCTTCTCCAACAGCAAGATTCAAAAGAGAATCCTTTCTGCAAATGGGTTTTTAGGAGAGAGGATGTCCATATTTAGGTTGTGCCTCTCAGTCAACCCAAAATAAATCTTTCGTATAGATACTCTGTTGAAAACTAATTTTAAATCTCTTTATATCTATTTTGGATTTAGATGCTATATAAATTCCTTGTTAGAGCCAGTCTGCCAAGCTGGAGGTGCGGTGGTGGCCTTCCATCCAATCCGCCGGGAGCGATAGATAACGCGGGCAGACAGACCGGACCGTACGCACCGGCTTAGCTAATGCATTCGGCACACCAAACTTTATCCAAAAACCCGCCGCACTCGCGTGCCTACTTGCATGCATGCGTGCGTGCGTGGCTCCCGCAACGTCGGAGCCCCGCAGGCGGCAGCCTACTATACGCCGCGCGAGATCCTCCTCCTCGCTGCTGCTGCTGCTGTCCATGGCATGGGGCACCTGCAGTGGACCGTTGGAGAAAAGCGGGGAGATCGATCGTCGTCGTCGTCCGGGCCGGCACAAATAATGCGTGCGGACTCCAGGCCCCTGGCCCCGGCCCCGCGCGCACTCGACGGCCGCGCACGGCGGCAACAATGCTCTAGCGGCCGGACGGCGGGCCGGCGCGCGCGTCGTTTTCGTGTCCAAAAGCGCCTCACTAGTCTCCCTCCCCCCGGCACTTTACCACTCACCGCCGCGGCGATTGGCCTGGCCGCTCGGCCGCCTGGCCCCCACGCGATAAACTACGGGATCCACGCAGCAGGACAGATCCCTCCTTGTCTCTGCCCTTTGACATTAGCGCAGGGTCAGATCGGAACCAGAATAACTGACGCCTGCCTGCTAGTCAAGCGCGACCAATAATAATGGGGGCCGCAATATAATTAATAAAAAGAGGGTGCAAGTAGGAGTAACTGTAAAAACGATTCATCATCATTTTCCTGTTTAATATTCCCACGCCTCACTCAGCCTGCAGGCTGCTTCTTTATGACACGGGTGAGAAGGGGCTCGAATCTTCCAGTCCCGCCCCATGCCCATCTCTCTCTCCTCTCCCTTTTGACATTTGGAGCAGAGTCCAAGAGAACAACACGAAAGCGTCCGAATACTCCTACACACGTAGTGTACGCGTATATATGCTATGCGCGCGTGCGGGGGGCCGGGGGGCCCTGCTGGACGGTCAGTGCCAAAAGTCAACCCACCCCCTCCTCCTTCTCCAGTCCCCCGCGTACGGGCAGGAGCACCACGCACGCGTCCCTCCGCCTCGTCAAAGGCTCGAGAGCGGAGAGCCGGTCGTGGTTCATGCGCGGCGTGCTGCTGCTCATGGCGGAGCACTTCAACGACTGGGACCTGCAGGCCGTCGTCAGGAGCTGCGGCAGCGTCGCGCACCCGGACCCGCCGGAGCCCGCCGCCGCCGCGGCGCCGAGGGCGGAGGCAGACGCTTCGCCGCCGGAGCCGACGACGACCACGCCGCCCGCGGCGCCACCGCGGGGAGACGAGGCGCCCGCCGCGCGTGCCACGCCGCCGCCGCCGCCTGTGGCTGTCCGGGGACAGGAGCAGCGGGCGCCGCCGCCCGTGGCCAAGGCCTCGGCGGCGCTCCTGTACGACGTCGAGTACCTGGATTTGGATCACAAGCCGTTCCTGCTGCCGGTCGTCGCGCCGTCGCCGACGAGGCCGCGCGTGGGGGACGACGGGCGCCGCGAGCGTGAGGTGATGATCTCCTTCCCCGCGGGGGCCGCGTCCACGTCCGGGATGCAGCAGAGGGCATCGCCGCCAGGCCGGAAGCCAGGCGCGCGCACGCCGCGGCCGAAAAGAAGGTACCGTACCGACTACCGATGCTGTGCGCTCAAAACTCCATCCACCATCGTGTGTAGCATGAACCATACCGTGAAGATGCCGACACAGATTTAGTGGAAGATTCCATTTTAGGCTTAATTTTGCGATGCATAATTTTAGGCTTAATGAAGTGCTGCGATGGCTTATTGCTTTCCTTTTCCTCGCTCCCTGGTTTGTGGCATGACAGCAAGAAGAGCCAGCCGAAGAAGGTGGTGCGCGAGATGCCGGTGGCCGACGGCGGCTCGTCGTCGTCGGACCCGTGGGCGTGGCGCAAGTATGGCCAAAAGCCCATCAAGGGCTCGCCTTATCCGCGGTAACTTCCTTTGACCTCGCCTTGCATACTTTCCACGCGCTGCACTCACTGCCTGCTCGACGGTATAGCTAGAGCCTTATTGTAACACCCCAGGCCCACTATATCGAAGGGTGGGCTCTAACCACGTAGCAACTCGCTTTTGATTTCATCCTCACTTCGTGCAAAATGGTTAACTGAAGGCTTCGCGTCCCTGGCCTAGGTATTTAAGTCGGTCCGGCCATTCTTGAATTCACAGCTTGGGACTAAACCCCGATTGCATAGTGTTTCGCGACGCTCCAGTAACTCTATTGAACCATGACCGAGCAACAGTAACCCAAAATTGGCCCGGCCTAATTCGCCACTACAACGCCCACAACTACAGCTCGGACCACAGCCCACGCGTGCAGTTACAGTGCCTCGGTCCAACCAGAATTCGCCGAGGATGTTACACTTATCGTCGATCGTTGACTGCAGAGCTCTCAACTTGGTAGGATCCCAACACCTTAATTATTGGCACCTTTTGTTTTAATAAGCAAAGAAGAAAAGGGGGTAAATGCCATCCTTGAGGCTTCACATAGATGTCCTAGCTAGTTTGATAATGCAGTCACAAGAATGAATGAAACGCCATGCCACTCGGGCATCATCAAGCTTGGTCGCACTGCACGTCACGTGTACATTTGTAGTACTACAAGACAATTCGGTAGCCGTACTGCGTGCTCGCAGTTGACTTTGTGGATGGCTGCTGACCCCCGTTGCGATGGGAATCTGTGTGTGCAGGGGGTACTACAAGTGCAGCAGCATGAAGGGGTGCATGGCTCGGAAGCTGGTGGAGCGCAGCCCGGCCAAGCCCGGGGTGCTCATCGTCACGTACATGGCCGAGCACTGCCACCCCGTGCCCACGCAGCTCAACGCGCTCGCGCGCACTACTCGCCACAAGACGTCGTCGTCCGGCGCGGCCGCCGACCACGGCACGGCCTCCTCTCCCAAGAGCCACCACGAGCAGGGCCAGGCGGTCGACAAAGCAACCGGCCGTGGCGCCGGCGACCGCGAGCATGGCAACAACGAGACGTCAACGATGGCGGCCGGGGAGTTTGGCGGCGAGGAGATAGCGGCCGTCGACGACGACAACGAGTTCAGGCCTGCGGGGATGGACCTGGACGAGCTCTTGGCACCCGTGGACGACGACTTCGATTTCGAGCACGTCGTGGAGGAGGAACATGGCGTACTGGGACGGCGGCTCTCCCTCTAGGTGGGCGCTGTAATAACTTCAGAAATCAGAACCTTCGATTGCAATAGATAGAGGACGGAAAGATCTCGCCTCGAAGAGAAGCTATGTATAGGCGTCTTTTTTGTGCGCGTTTCTGACAAACAGGATCCCGAAAACCAACGGGCTCAATTTCCGTTGTACTATATCTGCGTACTTGCGTAATCTCCGAGAAGTCGGTGCGCATTGATTTTTGCACTCCTATAATTCAGGTGCCCCCTGGCTGTACCGAGCACATGGACCAGGCAACAGACCTAGGCCTTGTTCTCTTTGCAAAAAATTTTAACCCGATAAATAGTACCACTTTCGTCTTATTTGACAAATATTGTCCAATCGTGGACCAACTAGACTCAAAAGATTCATTTCGTGATTTCCAACTAAACTATGTAATTAGTTATTTTTTTATCTATATTTAATACTCCATACAAACGGCTAAAAATTGATGTGATGAAGAGAGAGTGAAAAAACTTGAAATTTGGATGACATCTAAACAAGGCCCTAAAACCATGTAAAAAGATGCAATTCATCCACCAAAAAGATGCAAATGCAACTGCTCCAACGGTGAACCACTGTAACTTAAGTCACTGCATAGTACTACTATATTATTCAGTTGTGAAGATCACATTATGCTGACAAGAAAAACATCTTAGACCAAAAAGAATAGGCATTCCACAGATTATAGTTTGCTGTCTTTGTTACCACATATGTTTCGCAGTCGATACCACAGAATAGCATACCAGATGTCCATCAAAAACTACGGCAAGTAGCACTCAGACACGCTAGACTGTCATACAGAAAGCGTACAAAAGCAGAAGACTTAACCAAGCTCATGACACCAAATGGGTGGACGTTACTAGGTCATAATTTCCAAGACCTGGATTTACAAAAGACGGGGCAGTCCGAACTTTAGTATTCCCACTTCTTGAGCTCCATACCATCAGGAGGGCTCCCTTCCACCTTCTTTGATCCAACATCTTTCCAATTGGTTGAGAGAACAGTGCCATTAGATTCCACCTGCAGGAACAGGCAAGGATACGTGAGTATATAGACCCAAAATATAGTTGGTTCCAAATCCAGTATTAGCTGGGCCAAAGATTACGTACGAACGACTTCATCATGGCCCTCCGCATATCTTCATCAGCATCCTTGTAGATGTCACGGAAGAATTTGTTCAATGCAGCATCACCATCAAGTTTTTCTTCCTTCTCCTGATGCAGACGCAAATCATGCCCCATTCATATTCAAGAAACCCAAGTTGCAGCAATAAGATTGGTACATATATAAGTGGGAATCTTGATCAAACCTCCTTTTTTACTTCAGCTTCCAGTTTATCCCAGTCTTTTTTTGCCTTTGAAGATGGGTATGAAGGTCTTGGGGCTGTTTCAGCTGCAGAACATATATACAAATAAAATGTCTCTGTAAGAAATGCAAGACAGTTCAAGAAAGAAATGATCCAGATTGTTAATTGGTTAATATTATCTACAGAAATCTGTTCATCTCAAACTGTAGATCATGTACAGACCATCCATGAACCACAAAATGGACACACTACAAAACTAATGTGTGCACAAATCTATTACACCCAGATTAGTAGCCTCACAATATGGTTACTTGAACAAAAATCCAGATTGTTTAGCTAACCAATATCATCTAGAGAAGGCTGTTCATCTACTATCTATCATGTACACAGATCCCAATAGCTTAAGCTTAATCATTGACCATCCATGAACCACGAAATGGAACACTGTAAAAGTAAATTGTGTACAACTCCATATATCTTAACTTAGGTAGTTCATTTAATGATTACTCAAAAACCAAAATCTTGCTAAGGAAAGCAAGATGAGGTCACCTCAACAGATGGTCTCTAAGAGTATCCGTCAATATTGCTGCATAACCACAAGCACAATACATCTGGTTGGCAGTATTATAGTGATGCTATCATAGTTTTAAAAGTTTTCATAAATCATAAGCAGCAACATGCCTATGCTTCTTCTGTTGGCAAACCAATACTTCAAATAGATGAATTAGGGCAAAGGATATCAACGGCCTATGATACACATTGACCATAATTTCCCTGATATGCCACAGTAAAAAATTAGGGGGAAAGGACATCGACAGTCTGACCGTAATTTCCCTAATATGCCATAGTAATGAATATCATGTATGTTAGAATATCAAAGTCCTCTTGAATGACGATATGATAATACACCATTGACCATAATTTTCCTAATATGCCATAGTAATGAATATAATGTATGTCAACATTTGCGCATCATACAGGTTTATTATAATCCAGTTCATTCTGTTCATCTAACTGCACCATTCTGATATCCACTATTATAAACTTCAGGCACGAAACTAGTTTTAGGGGGCAGTGTGCACACTAATCTAGGGCAGGGGAATGATATGGAACTGAGCAAAGGAAGGGTAAGAGGTAGAAATACTTAAATACCCATATAAAAACATCCAGCAAACCACAAGATGGTCAAAGAAACAAAAGAAAATTCAGAACTCTGGCCTACCGACAACTCAGATTTAGCACTGAAACGGTGTCTGACTATGCTTTGACCCATCTCCAGGATGGAAAGAGAATAGCCCAGTAAACTCACTCATCAGTAAATCATGACCACAGCTTCCTAATTATAGAGACTCGGACATGATGAGTGGTCATAGTTCTAAAAGATATATTACCTGGCGTGCTTATCTTCTGGGGAACAGCCTTTGGTCTTCCACTATAATCCAGGGTTGTCCATGTCACCTGCTCAGCTTTTGCAAGGCGTATTTCGACCTTGGTGGATAAGACTTGATATTTGCATTTCTCAGGGATAATCTGATTTCCAACAATATAAAAACATTTATTCACACATAAATAAAGGATATTCAGTAAGCTAATCAGATAACTACAAATAGTCCACAAACATAACTACAATGCTTTGCAGAAAACGACAGGCCCCCATGTCAACAAGACCAAAAGAAAATGACTCCATTACCAGGTCTTATTTGGTTTATAGGTCACTCCGAAGGAAAAAGAGAGAACACAAATGCAACATCAATTTAGTTTCCACAAACTAACAAACAATCATTCTGAAACCTAATATACATGAATTTTATACTAGCATTCAAAATTATTTACCAAGAGCAGATCCAAAAACAAATCAACTAGTGCTGTTGAAGCAATTTTTGGAGTTCACAAATTCAAGTCATTCTATGCTTATCAAAAGAATTGTATCGACTGCATTATATATGATGAAGAAAAAAGAAAGGCAGTGCTGTGTATAAACCCAAATCTTTGAATGAAACACTACCAGCCGGCTGCAGCTGCCGCTGAGCAGTTATATTGCACTGTAGATTTGTATGAGCTGCAGCCAGCAGCGGCGACTTTTAATTGCCGCCGAACGTTCACAAATGTCTTATTAGCTAACCAGTTTAGCTAAATCACAAAAAATTCAGGTGGTTGAACTTCACAGGGGATAATATTAACCACAAACATCCACAGTTGAGCACATGACCTGCTAACTACTTCTTTAAAAGATAACACAAAGCAACATCTTGATTTGAAACCCCATTGCCTGTGTTTATACAGTTGAAAAAAGGTAAAGTGAAGCTTATATGTGTGTTTTTGTTTTGTTTCTCTAATCTAAAGTTATTTAAATTTTCCACTCTTGACCTTTTTGATTAAGACTCAGCAGCTAGAAGTCAAAAATAAATTTATATTCTGTATCTGACCCTTGTCTTGAAGGCAAGGTGCTAGGTTACACGGTGTAACTTACACCTTAGTAACAGTCTAATAGATAACAAGTATGAAAAGCAACATCAAAATAGAATGGACAATTATTACCTTAGAAAACAGACGGGGCTGAAAATGGTATGGTTCTTCACCAGGGACTTCAATGGATACACTTAACTAAAATGAGAAACAAGATCAGTGAATACAGTAAAAAAGACAAGAGAACTATAATAATAATAATAATATGAGCAGAACACACCATCTGTTCACCAAAATCAATGACTACACTATCAGCAGGAACACCCTTAGCAAATATTGTCAGCACCACTTCTGTGGCACTGTTGTAGTAGTCATGCCTGCAGCACAAATTATTTAAGAGAAAATTTTAGCAAAAAACTAGCAACTCATGCTTGACATTAATTTCAGTAAGGGAGAAGCATTTTGCTTTCCTCCAAGTATGGCTCCCTGAATTATAATATGCTTATCAGTAAACAAATCTGTACTGGGAAAAGGTAAAGTGGTTTGATTACATAGCATTCAGTCTGAGCTAGGTGGTTCAAAGAGTTCTAGGAATTTACACTAGTTACCTGTATTTAGGTTTGCTTGGGGGTTCTACCACTGGCGGTGTATTCTCCATAGTTGTGGCATCCTCCTTGTCCTCAACAGTAGCAGCCACAGGAGCCTCAACCTTCTTTACTGGTGCCTGGCTAGATTCCTCTGGACACATAAACCAAATAACAGGGCAGACAGTATGAGATGATTGAACTGAAACATAATTATTCTCCAGTACACAAGGCTGCTGCAAACATTTCTCAGGCAAGGTAGCTAATTGGACACATATCATCAGAAAATAACATGCGCCACATTGCATTCCCAAGACCCCCCACCCCCCCCCCCCCCCCCCCACCACCACCACCACACACACACAGCTATATATATACTAACTTCTGGAGTTAATTTTGCTCACCAGCGATGCGCTCATCACATTCCTTCAATAGACGAGTAAACCTTGAATCGCCTGATGCATAGGAAGAACCCAACTCAAGAGCAGCCTTTGCAGTTTGGTATTCTTCAAGCTTAATGCATGCAGCACTGTAAACAAGAAATAACGTAGTACATAGATAAAAATGAGCAGAGGGAATTATGGGAGTGTTAATGTATAACTTTTATTGAAAAAAATGAGGAGTGCCACTAACCCTTTCCGGTAGTAGGCTTTATGCATTGTAGGATCAAGTTCAATTGCTTTGTTAGCATCCGCTACAGCCTCTGCAAGTTTAGTTAATTCCTTTAGCGCTATACATTTATTGTGTTTAAAAACAAATATGCAAGCCAATGATGGTAGCATGAATAACACTACCAACTGAAAAGAAACTTCATGTGCACTTTCTTGTTACACAAACAAAGAAAGTTGCAATGACAACACCATGTAGTTTATTATTTTAGTAATTTGGTTACAATGATTCACATGTAACTGAAGCCAAACTTTACACATCATTTCTTATTACAGCCACACCATGCGTTTCTTATGGTTCCTACTGATTCAGATGTAACAGGAGCCATGCATTCCATTTCTTATTGCGAACAAATACTGCAATGGCAGTAAATCAACATGTAGTTTCTTATTTTGGAAACAGCTGATATGGATGTACAGTTAGGATACGGGGGAAGCTAGAATAGTGCTACACAACTATACAAAACATATCTAAAATAGGAGGCATTTTTTTATCAATTCAACTGCAGAATGTGGTCAAAATGAGCTACTAGTTTGCACTACAACCTAAAGAGAGTAATACAACAAAATGAAAACCCAGACTAGGACCAACAGAGATTAATACAATCTAAATCCTTCCAAACCACTCTGTCATCACAACTTCTTCAACATGCTGCTGAAAACCCTCAAGCCACCAATTGAGTTGTACTACTACTTCACATGTATACACACATTTCACCTGAAACTCTCAGAGCAATAGCAAAAAAACAAGCATAGCAATGAAACAAGGAACTAGGGGTAACACATTACAATCCACAGAAATGAAACTGGTAAGGAACTTGGGGCACCACGACAAGCAAACTAGGGACATACCTTACAACACACATCGCGACACAGCAATTAGGGAACTTGGGATAAACCATCACGCACACAGCAAGGCAACAGGTAGGGCACTAGGAATATACCTTGCATCGCACAAGCCAAAGCTATATCCCGAACGTCATAATTAGCCCCGGACATTTCAGGCAATCTGAATCTTCATACTCTACTGTCCACACAACAGCCAACAACGAGCACGACTATGGCTAATCATATACTCCAATCATCTAGTGCCTCTTTGAAATTCGAATCAGATGATTCATCGCCAGGCCTACACCATAGGCTGACGTTGACCTCCAACACCCTACCCTAGAATCGCCACGAGTTCGCTCATCACAACAACAAAACAGCTAATCAAACTAGCCTTCTAAAAACCGCGAGGCGCTATAACAGACCCTTGCGATTACATTCACACGCGCGCGCGCGCGTCGAACTACTGTCCCCACACGTCAGCGCGCAACCAATCGAATCAAACCCTATCGGAGCAGTAGGAGACGGCAAGGAAGGATGGGGGGTGGGGGAAGAGCACTGCCCATACCAGTGTAGTTGCCGAGCTTGATGTGTGCCTGGGCGCGGTCGGCGTAGAGGTCGGCGGTGGCGGGCCCGGCGTCGATGGCCTGGGTGTAGAGCTCGGCGGCGAGCTCGAAGTCGTCGTCGACGAAGGCCTCCTTGGCCTTGCTCTCCAGATCCGACGCGGCCATGGCGGCCCCCTCCGGCTTGGGGCGTCTGCAGGCGACGACCAGACGATGACTTGGGCGAGAGCGAACACCCCAATAATCGAGGTCACTCGTAGGTGGGCAGGGCAGGCGGAGGGATGGGGTGACGCGGCCTTTTGAAGGGCCCGTGGAGGTTCTAGAGAGTTCGATGCCGTAAGGCCGAGAGGCCGGGCAGGGCCGGGCCGGGTTTTTGCGATGCATCATCGTCATTTGCAGCTTTGCGGATTCTGGCTGGGTTAATTGCGGGGGAAGTTCTGCGGGTCTCTTTGGGCTTATTCTGCTTTTTCTTTTCTTTTTTCTTTTTGCTCTTTTGTGCGGATCAAGACATCAAGTAGTTGCCTAGTCGGTCGTATGATTTTGTTACGAGGAAGGTTCGCGATCCGCTCATTGATTGGTTAGATTTGATTAGTTGCTGACTGGCTGTCAAGTGGCCTTACTCCTATACTTGTTTAACCTCTTCCGCCGCTTATGTTTAGTAATTTGAACGATCAAGACTTGGGTGTGGGTTCGTGGTTTTGTGATGTGGTTAAGGTGACTAGCTAGCCTTGGGCTTTGTTTAGTTGCTCCCTAACTCTTAACTTTGACACTATGTAAAAAGAAGATTTTCGTCACATCAAACTTGTGGTACATGCATGGAGTACTAAATGTAGACGAAATCAAAACTAATTGCATAGTTAGGTTATACTTTGCGAGACGAACGTTTTGAGCCTAATTAGCCAACGATTGAACAATTATTATCAAACACAAACGGAATACTACAATGTGCTGCTACAGTGTTGCACATTGAATCCGACGACGCCAAATTCGGCCAACTAAACAAAACCTAGATTAGATCTCATGGTCATGGTGTTGCTTGGAACTGTGGTTAGGATTGTACCGTGCGATCCTCGCTGGCGTAATCTTTTCTTTAGTGACATCAGACCTCGCTGGATGTGGGCATGTACGGGCAACCCGAGATTCCCAATGGAGCTTACACGTTTTTGAAAGAATCAGTTTTTTTTAATTTAACTGGGTCTATTCGGCTGATATTAAGCCGGCTGAAGTTATTTTGTTGTGAGAGAAAAATATTGTAGATTCTAGCTGATAAGCCGGCTGATAAGTTCAAACGAACAGACTCATAAAAATCATTATCAACATTTACATTTTCTAATATATTTATTATGAATTTTTATTCCAATATTAATCTAATAATACTTATTACGCATCATAAATATTATCAGTATATATTTTTATATATTTGATTAAATTGAAAAGAAATGACTCTCGCAAAGCAAGGTGTACAATTATTTTGACTGAGGAAGTAAGCTAGAGAGATTGCTGCTACAAAGATGTACGAGTAGCTACAAATGCACAAGGTAGCCCTTAGACCATCTCCAACGATGAACCTATATGGGCACTCAAACCCAAAATAGATAGCAAGAGACTTAAAATTAGTCTCCAACATAGTACCTATACAGAGAGACTTATTTTTGGTTGCCTGAGAGGCACAACCCAAATATGGGCATCCTCTCTCCGGAAATCAATTTGCAGAAAAGATTCTCTTTTGGGTCTTATTGTTGGAGAAGATGCCGAATATGTATTGAACATTTTGCCTATAGCGCTACTCAAAGGACGAATGGGTCTTATATTTTGGGTGTTGTTGTTGGAGATAGTCTTAGATAGCTACAATACGACAAATGGCATGTAATAGATTTTAAGCTTCAACAATTCAAAAATGGTGAGAAGCAATTGTACGTCACAGTGGTATTGACATATTGTAGGAAGCATGTTGGATAATGACTGAGCTGCACTTTTTTTTGAGTTTTATTCGAATTGACATAATCTTATTTGTCATGGAATCCTGAATCGGTTGAGAGTAAACTTTGAATCGAGCTTAATGAGCTGAGCCTAACAAGTCGAGCCGAAGTTGAAAGTCACTCAAAATAAGCTTTTTTTTTTAAAATGAGTTCAATCAGAACATTTTGAGGGGCGAATCCAAACAGGCCCTTAGTCTTATAAATGGAAGAGAGGGACTTGAGCTAGCTAAGGTAAAGATAAAGGAATCAACATATCAAATGAAGACCAAAGATAAGTATTGAAGAAAACCCTTGATGACAATAAAGAAGCTCAAGATATCATACGACAAGAGAAGCTCGGGAAAATTGGAGCAAAGAAACACACTTAGATGATCACCGGAACTCTCCGGTAAGGCGGTGAGGGCACTAGAGAAATGGAGTGGGCCTAGTTCGAGGCAGAGTTGGAAGTAGTGCATGGCATACTTCCCAGGTGGACACAAGAGTTTAACACTGGAGATTCAGTATAGAGACATTGCACAAGCGTGGTGGAGAAGAAGAGAGCATTTGAGATCTTTGGTGATGCACCAAACATTAAAGGTTGAGAGTCATGTTTAGGTTTTGGTAATTAATGAAAATATTTGTGGACTAATGGTTTCAGATAAAAGGTCAAGTGTAGTCCAGAGGCAAGATTTAAGCTATATGAAGGCCATGGTGGAGATGGCATGATCATGAAGGTGCAAAAGCTCAACAAGGTGAAGAGATGAAAGCAGAGAGGAGAAGCAATGAAGTGGAAGATACAATGAAGGCAAAGGTATATGCATTGTCATTCAACGGCCACAGGGTGACAGAGTGAAGAGGCTAGATTTTTAGGTTAGACAGTGATACTATTAAAAGGGCCAAATCAAGTTGCAAAAATGGTTATCTAGTGCCACTCCGCGAGATCTAACTTTGCACATTCATTATTAGGATTGAGTGAAGAGGTGAGTTCAAGTGAAGGTTTGCAAAATGCTAACTCAGGGGTTAAACGTGTTATTCACCACGTGGGAGACCTATTAGAGTTAGTGCTTTGAAAAGGTTTGAGAAAAGGAGCTTGGTGAAGTGTTTCAACACTCTCCAGAGCTCTCTGATGTGCACCGGAGCTTTGAAACAGTGTTCCTCTCGAGCATTTTTTCCAGCATGTAGACCTAACCTTCCAGTGTGCACTAGAGAGGTGGCACCGAAGCTTAGGAACTATGCTAGAGGAGAGATTGCCAAATTCAAATTCACTCACTAGAGCTCTTCGGTGTGGCACCGGAGAGATACACTAGAGATATATAGTAACTCTAGAGAGGGTTGTTTTCATGCTCTTTGGGGCGTTACACGCATTGACGCTCTCCTGTGGTGTACCGCGGAACTCACTGAAGTTTAACGGATAGTTTCTGCATAGTGCTTCACACACAAGTTATCTTTTGGGGTAGCCTCCGGTGCTTAATAGAGCTCATTGGTGCTTTGGTTTTTAGCCCAGTAAAATGTAGCGCCTCTTTTGGTGTGTGTGGCTATGTATAAAGGGCTTGGCCGGGCATGACACAACTCTTGGACCCCCTAGCTGATATCCACACACATTAGAGCTCAACCTAACCCTACACTCTCATTTGCTTGCTTGTGATTGCATTTTTGGAGAGATTGGTGTGATTCAAGTCATTTGCTTTGAGAGATTGCATTGAGTGGCACTAGCATAAAATTTGAACATTGCGTGATGCTCCGGAGAAAGACTTGTGAGGAGCTTTGCACTCTTCCCCACTAGAGAAGGCAAATAGTGACTCTAGTGGATAGAGGTGTTGAGAGTGCTTTCTGATAGAGGAGCGGGGATCCTTGAGCTTATCTCAACATCGACGTAGGTGGCCAGCAAGTCACTGAACCATATGGGATAAATCATTGTGTCATCTCTTGTCCGGTTCTCTAGCTCTTCTATTACTTTCCTTTTGATTCTAGCAACCTTGCTTAGTTTACTTTGATACTTGACTTATTTAGGTTGCTAATCACCCTATGATTGCAAAACTATAGCTAGTGCAGGTAGAATTATTGGGACCTTATTTGTTTCTAATCAAACTTTTTAGTGTCTTTGGTTTTAGAAATTGAAATCACCACTCCCTGTCTAGCCATCGCCTTGGGGGCAATAGAGAAACAACCGAATAAATAGAGCTTCTAATGGTTGACACTGGATTTCTCTAGTGTGGTCACTGGAATTATATGGTGCTCACTGCTTTTGTAGTCTGAGTTTCTAACGACTAGTTGAGTTGGTTGGGGCTATATACATGGTTATTTGGAGTGTGTGTTAGAGCAAGCTATAGGTGAGAGTTGAGGCTTATCCAATTGTGCTCCAAGTTGACAAGGTCGTGGGCATGCAAATGCCCATGAGAAGGCCGGAATCCCCGATTGAGTAGTGCACAAAAGTTGGGCGCAAATATGCTCGGATTTTGGGCTAGCGTAAATATACTAGGAAATTCTTTTGGGTACTGTTGGACTCAATATTATCTTCATCGATCTTGGCCAAAATCTATTTTTGGAAACTGATTGTGGGAATGGTTGGAGATGCTCTAGATAAACTTTTTTCTAATACTCATGTTAGTTGTATTGATCATGTATATATGTATATCGTTCCAATAAAAAACGGTCATGGCTTAATAAAAAAACACAAATATTGCTAATCGACAATCATTGCTTCGATACAGCACTAATTATGATATAAAACATAAATCATTCCATTCGCCAAACATCTGAATTTCTTATCTTAGAACAATAAGTCCTGGAAGGTGGGGAGCTTGATCTCGCCCTCGGTGGTGAGCGGGATAGTGAAGGCGCCGATGACAGGGAGGTCGATGGTGAGCCCCACCTCCAGCAGGTAGTCGATGTCCCAGTCCCCTCCTAGATCCTTCATCAGCGTCACGATGAAGTCGTATGGCACCTTCACCGGCAGCTCCAGCTTGGTGCTGCCGCTCGCCGCGATCCACCCGGGGTCGGCCATCGTGCCCGATGCTATTACCCTAGGATTCAAACAGGAACCAGAACCAGCATTAGCGTGCATGGTATGGCATGAAACAAAATCAGAATGCGACCATTGTGAGAGAGGGACATGCATGCATGACGTACTTGCCGGCGCTCTTGAAGGTGTAGGTGATCTCGCGTAGATGGGGATGCGGTGCGAGTAGGGGTTGCTGACGTCGACGTGGCTGTGTAGTTCGACGCCCTCGCAGCTGATGCTTCGGAAGGATACGCGATCCAGCGTCGCCTCGGGCTTGGGGATCTGCGTCACCTTCTCCACCACGAAGCCCTTGGCCTTGTCCATGAGGCCGGCCATCAGGCCGACGCTCCTCTCCCGTCTCTCCTCCTCCCCTCCAGCATCCATGGCGGCGGCGCCGGATCTCTCCTCCTCGGCCCCGCTCATGTCTAGGGAATGGGGATAGTCTTGCCGCGCGTGGTCGGAGGCAGTGTGTCCCTCGACGCGGACGGAGGTGGAAATGGGAAGGGGAACCGCGAGAGGAGACAGGAGAGGAAGGCGCCGGCCTTTATGCAAGGTGGAGAACGCGGGACATGGTGCGCCTATGCCTGAGCATGCTCATGCATGAGCATCACTAGGATAGCAATGGATACCCAAAACCCAACTAGCCGACGGGTTTTACCCGCTAAGGCTAAGGCCTTGTTTGGATGCGCATGTATTCATCTCAATCCACATGTGTTGAAGTAGTTTCATTCCAATCCACTCTAACATATGTGGATTGAGGTGGATACACATGCATCCAAACAAGGCCTAAAGCAGGGACGGACCTACAGGGTATGCAGGGTGGGCCACCGCATACCCTGGGGTCCGCCAGTCATAGGGATAGGTAGAAATTTTCAATGTAAACAAAAATTGCATAAGTAATTTTTTTGGTTTACCGAATTGTATAAGAATTTTTTTTTGCTGCGCATACCCAGAGGTAAAAACCTAGGTCCGTTACTGGCCTAAAGAGACAGGTATGAGAAGATTTTTTCACCTACATGTATACTAGTGGGTAAAAATATGTAAGATATGAGTACGAGAACATACTACCCATACCCGTGTACCCACGGGTAATTTATACTCGTCTTATCAACACATATATCTTTATTAATTGCTATAAAATACACATATATCCAGTATATCTATGACTATTATGTTGTTAATTTGTGAAGTTTTGTTGCTATGCTATAATTGTTAATCTCTATTTACATCTCTATTAAATAAAATAAATAATTGATGATATATTATTATAGTAATATAATATATTCATGTTTTTCTTGTAAGGCCTTGACCTTGAGGTGCTCACGGAACACCGGGAGGAGGTCCGATAATGCGGTGAGGTTTCGGAGCACTCCATCCAATCGCTAGGCATGCAGCAGCAGCCATCGCCCTCGTCGTGCCGCCACAGCACCACCAAGGCCCTACTGTGCCTACTCTTCCTTGTTGCCCTCTCCCTCGTTGTGTTGCTCGCCTTCACCACCTCCACGAGTCCTTTGCCTACTCGCCCGCGCGCCGCGCGCTACAGCTCGTGCCATCGTGCCGTTGCCAGCCACTAACCACCCTCCTCCGCGGCGTCTGGAGGGACGAGGATGAGACCAGGCCCACCTCGCCTGTCATCCCTCAAGCGGTAGGGCAAGGTCACCGTGTCTCGGACTTGGACCTCGACACCGTGATGCTGCTAGACTAGGAGGTCCTCATCCTGCTCCACCCTGACAACGACGCGCAGGCGCCCTCTATCGGGTCCGGCCAGGACGGTGGGCAACGCCATGTGTGGGTTCTCGGGCGGGGCCACGTCCCCAATGTGGTCGCTTGGGAAGATGCCCACGTCAGGCTGCCGAGCCTACAACTGTGCCATGCCCAGGCTAGAGCGCCACAACAGCAGGCCCCGCCATGCCTCGTCCTCGGCAGCGAATGACGAGGACGTTGCGCCCAGCTGCCACTGTGGCACGGCCACGTCAGATGCTAGCACTAGTGTGGCAGGTCTTGGACCGTTGGTGTACAACAACAGTAGATTAGGACCCACATAATTGTTTTTTAGTTCGAGGACCCAGATAGGAATGCCTCAAAAGTTTGAGGACACAACATGCATTTTACTCTCTTTTCTTCAGATACACACACTATTTAAATGTACACAGAACGTTACCAAAACCTCATTCAAATAGGGAAAAAGGAGTGTTCAAACCGGGGGCACCACTCTCAACGAGAAAAGTGACTTAAGTGCTAATACCATAGTGACATCATCTATTCGAATGCAGAAGTCTACCTACCAGCAACATAGGGCAGGTACAGATCACTGTCCATCTAAGTAGAACATGCTTGGGTACACCCAGAATGGCTCAAGCTTGATGTACATGGCCCTGCGGTACTCAAGGTAAGGGTTAGTGGAATCATCCCAAATGGCATCTGCATCATCACCCAGCCCATGCAAGACCCATGGTTGTGTATAATGAGCATAGTACAGGCAGTTGCTTCTCCCACCCCCATCGTCTTGGGCTCATGCAAGAGAATGCCAGTCTCCGCACATCACCACCAAAAAAGAGGGCATCATTCTCCAACTTCACCACCTCCACCCAAGTTGCAGGTTCAGTGGACATGTCCAGGCGGTAGGCTTTGTAGTTGACAGGTGCTCCAGATGATGTGCTCAAGTAGTAGTTGTAGTTAACAATTAGAAGCATGCCGCTACATACCACCAGACAAGGCTGTGATAGATATCCAGGCATGTTGTCCAACCACACAGTTGCTATCTCCTGCAGACCAAGCTGGGGGCCAAGGACAGAGTGTAGAGCCTAGGGTGGGTGTCCATCGCGATGAATTGACCGTTGAACTCCACAATCTGCACAACTGCATAATTAAGATTGAGCTGTAGTTTTGACCAAGAATCACTTCCAATCAGCCTATCAAGCAGACACTGACCGCCCTGTTCTAGATGCACGCAAACTAGGAGGTGTGAGTTTAGTGTTGCAAGGGGAGTTGTCAGCATGCCAGAGTAGAAAAAAGTGTTGTCGCCAAATGGGAGCTGTGGAGGTAAAACTTTGGCACCAGTGAACACATCCACGATAAAACAATTTCTGCCGTGACCACAAATCAGTTGCCCATAGGAAGAGCCGGCAAAGTGCAACTTCTCAAATGTCTCTTCAGGAATCTGGCAGGAAAGGGTACTTTTCATGTTGGCTGGATCAAGGACTTGACATGTGCGGAGCTCGTTACCATGAGCATGGACACTGATATGGGGCCGGACGACGAGAGGTGGGAGCAAGGTGCAGAATGTGGATTTAGATGGGTATGAGGTGAAAGCGGCACGCCAAGAGCGGCAGGTGCCAGCAAAGCTGAGGAGCTCAATGAAGGAGCTCAACAGAGGAACAATGGAATGGAGCAGACCTTCTGGGAGATCTGCCCACCCTTGAGGTCCATACACAGCAGGGGCTGTAGTGGAGGCTGAGGTGGCACCGATTTTGCTAGGGCTTTGCATGATGTCAGGCTCTCTGCAACAAAGTAAAAAAAAGTAAACAAGTTAGAACTGAATCAAAAGTGAAAAATAGACAGTAAACTTGCTAGAGACTTAGGTAACATGCAAACATTTTAATCTATATGTCTGAAGCCATTTGTTAAGTTGTTATACATTGCTGCATAAGAGGAATTCTATGCGCTGGGTGAACCCTAATGTTCAGGCTAAGACAGATCGAAAAAATACAGTTTTTAAGTCTTGTTTCAATTCTAACTTTTCGTCAAAGACTGCCTAAACCCATCTCTATTTTCTGAACATAATATTTAGGATGACCTACACATTAGTGAAGCATGAAACAAAGGTGAAACCTATGGCAAAATGACCAATTATGTGCTGCCGTTCACAAATCAACCATAGCATACAGAAAATACTTCAATCAGCCTGTTCGCTTGTTGGTTCCAGCTAAGGCTTATCAGCCAACCAACATTATTTTCCTCTCACAACATAAACCAGCACCAGCCGGGCTTATCAGCCCAGAAACCAACCAGCGAATATGATCCTGAGCTGAACCCCCACCTAATATAAAATCGGTGTCTTTTATCATAGCCATGTGAGGCATGGGCATACATCTTCTTGAATCTACCTGATCAATGAGAAGTCCATCTACGGCGGAACCAGAAATCAATGGAAACAAGATACTAATGAAATTTCTTTGCTTGGTTTGGATTAAGAAATCAGAGCACTGTAGAAAAGTCACAAATGTGCCAAATGAATTAAAAAGAAACTAGGAACTAGGTGCCAGAGCAAGCCTTTCTACTACCTACTAGATATTATCCTACAGGCATCTGAGGCCCTGTTCGCTTGTCTTATAATTCGTACTTTTTAGTTTGTTTTTTTAGCCGTAACAATATTTTTCTCTCACAACAAATCAGCTAGAACAGTGTTTCGGTTTGTTTTTTCAGCGAAACGAACGGGGCCTGAAATCACAAAATTTGACGTAACACAGAGGAATTTTTTTTCTCCAGATTAAAGGCTCCCAATCCTACTTCCTACTTGCCTAGTCTGCACCTATGTTGCCTGGACACGGATATGGGTATCGGATATAATATGTATTGAATACGCGAATACGCTATTCTTAAAAAAAACAATGACACGGGGATCTTCTACTATACGAAATCCGCACCATCGGCTCTGGCTTATTCTCTTGCCACGTGTCCGCTGGTAGCCCCATCGGCCGTCATGACTCCGGTGGGGCGGCGCCATGCAAGATCTTCGGTCACCGCCCAGCCCCGACCCAGCGTGTACGCCCACGCCAGCGGGCGATCCCGGCCATTCCCGGCGTTGTTGTTGCTGGTCGCGACCGCGGTTGCGTCATTGCGGCCGAACTTCTGTGGCGGTGAGCCCGGCGAGCTGGCTCGCTTCGGGGAGGGGCGGCCCCGGGACCCATGCGGGCCCGTCGGCTTGTCCGTGCCCGCCACCGTCCCCGGCCGGATCGACGCCGGCGTCCGCAGTCCGCACCCTGCGTGCGTGCTCTCATTGAGCCGCTGCCTACAGCGTGGCCGGTGGCCTCGAGACATGCACGGCAATTTGGGCCCACCTATTTGGTCGCGGCGAAAGCACCCGCTGCCCACACGGCCCTCCATCGTCGTCGCCGGCGACCACGCTGACCGAATCGTCCGGAATCAGCCCATACCCTGCTCTGCTCAACGCTCGTGGAGGAGGAAAAGAGAATAGAAGCTTTTCCAGGGTTCCCAATGCAAAAACTCCTGACTCATATTAACAGTTGTCGACAATACATCAGAGCACGTTGAGAATAAGGAAAACTACAGGGGCCTAGATGCAAAGAGTTTGTCCTATTAGGTTTACCTTTCTTTTTATTCTTTAAATCGGCTGAAAATTGATAAATGCGTAGTAATTCATAGAAAAATCCAAAAATGACAAAACGAATTTTGTTCAGCTCCACATATGTAGATCCATGCAGCAAACACAAAATATCACATATTTTAGTACAAATTTTTTTGCTGTAGATGGTTGCCTATGCTTTTTATTGTAAAATTGATATTTGTAGTTATCTTGCTCCAATTATTATGAAAATTTTATGGTAGCATATTCATGTGATGCTTGATCTGTGGTAAAAATTTTAGCTCCATTCGTGCTGATTTACTTAGATTTATGCTTGCTAAATAGTTTACAATCAATTTAAGTATGTAAAAATGAAAAAGATGCTTCCACTACCTTTGCATGATGTTGTCATGTCATATGAACACTTCATATGGCCATGTGTTCATAATCTACACACATTTAACTGATATATCACATTTCATAGACTACAATATTTGCTTTCTCAGGAAAAAAAGGACATGATAAAGATCCATAACATGTTCACTATAAAAATATAACAAAAACTATAACGTACCTAAATCTTCACAAGATACAAAAGACTTCTGATAAAAATTAAAATTTATTCACTCAATCAAAGAACAATTTCCCTTTATCTTCGAAAAATACAAATGCTGCACTTCTACCAAGAGACAATAAGCACAACAAAAAAAACTTAGTTTACAATTGTCACAATCTAATCAATACAATGCAACTCGTACTACTGTGACCCATAAATTTACCCTTATAAAGTAACATTGCTAGGATACATAATGAACATATACTGGTTTAACAAAATGTGATTGATCCACTGGCACACAGTCCAACATGGGCGCAACACTTGAATTACAATCAATTTTTCTGCAACTCATGGTATCCATCATTTTCAGCGGGTTAGAATCACATCGATTAACCTTTTTTAGTATCTATTTCAAACATTCTGCAAAAAATTATTGTTACTACAAAGTTACTCATTTTTTAATATAAAAACTGACATTGTCATACATAACAGCCCATACTCATTGTTTCAAAGACGTAACGGGCGCCACGAGGAATGAACTGGCCCAATCTGGTATGGCGCGGCAAGGCCGCGCCTGTTCACTTCACTGAAAAGATAAGCTGAAAAGTATTCTTCGCTGATTTATTGTGGAAAAAACACTGTTCATTTTTCTAAAAAAGTACGGCTGAAAAGACAAGTGAACAGGTTGCCTAGAATTTTTTTAAAATAATAATTAATAACTATACATGATTTAATATGAAAATTGAAAACCACAGCCACAGCATAGTAAGCTGAGTGCACAACTTAATAAGGCCATAGCCAAGTGACATCTAGCATAACAAACAATTTAAGTTCATAGCTTAATTAATAAGGTCACATCCACTGGCCACAGGTACACATCCTAAACAGCCTTCTCCAAAAGCTATTGAACGCACGGACAGTCGAGAAACTGAATAGTTACTTACTTACCGATTGAATTTTGCTGGAGCAGGGGCGCAAGGCTGCAAGCCTGCAACTGTAGGGGCCAGGGGGCTGGGTCACCGCTAGCAGGGAGGGGGCGCCGCTGGCCGCTCGCTGCCCTGCCGCCGGCCGATTCGACGGTGAGCCGCCCAGGGATGCTCCTTGCTCCGTCCTCTAAGCAGGGGCACACCGGCATAGAGCTGCAGCAGTAGGGGACAGGGATCTGGGACTGGGAGGGTCGCCGCCGGCCACCGTTCGCCAATCGCAAGTCGCGTCGGGCCCCTCCTGGGCGGCTGTGCGGGAGTCGCGAGACCGCGAGCGTGCACCGTGCGGACGAAGTCCTGAAGGGGAATAGGTCACGCGTGGGAGGTAAGTTGGGCTGGTTATCTCTCATGGGCCGTATCCAAGTCGGCCCAACCGTGTCTGATACCTACGTATCCAGTTTTCCTAGTACGGCCTGGATACGCGTCCGAGGCGTATCGGTGTCCGATACGTATCGGATACCACGCGATATGGACCCAGTATCCGCGCATCATAGCACAAATGCCACGTGAATGAAAGAAATGATGCAACGTTTGTTCAAATGGCATAATAAAGATGCAGTAACACGCCAAAACATATTACAATGCATTTTACTGCGATACACTTAAATAACTATGAGTCGTTTATTTAGTTTGATCTTACGGTTATGGTCACGTACTACCTCCGAGTAGGTGGTAGGTAAAATATATGTTTTTTTAAAGTAGGATAAATTAGAAAAGATTTAAATATAAAAAATTCCTAGATTTGACATGCATGTGTGATCCGGTGGATATGATAAATCTTTTTTATTTTGGGACTCTGGAATTGATATATTTTGATAACCATGTAATTTTACATAGACTTAATACATATACATCTGAATTCGCTTGAACGTGATTTGCATGTGCCAACGTGAAGTGTACTTCATTTGCATGTGACGTGACATAATGTGTTCATTACATGACTCGTTTAATGGTTTTTATTAGTTTGCGTGACTTGTTTCTCACTCGACTTTTGTATACTATTTAACCACTTTAATACAATCGTTCATAGAGATTTAAAGTAATTGTGTGTAGAGATTTAAAATATGTGTACTATTTAACCACTTGCTTCTGAATTTAAGGAGAGCAGAGCCCTAACATCAGGATATAAAGTGGTGGACTACAGCAATGATAATCCAAAGTCAAGCCCCATGACGGCTGCTAAAACACCTAGCTGCCACAAGGAAAACTACTAGATTTACTGACAACAATGATAATTTTTTTTTGCGAGGTGATACTGCTCATTTTCAGATTAACCGTTTCACACAGAAAATGAGGCTTCTGTTCGAGACATCAAAGCGTGTCTTATAGTTCTATTCTAGCCACATTAGCTATGGGGTATAATCTCATTCAAAATGTACTCAGATCAGGTATGGTCTATCGATATCTAGGGTTTGACCTGTACATCTTACAATCACACCAAAATCCAATCGAAACCTAAATGTAATATCTCGATTCAAGATGAAACCACAACAATAAATGTGACAAAACTGTCCAATTTATATAAGATCAAGTACAGCTGCTCTCGCTAACACGTTGGCACGCACGCACTTTTACTTATATAAATCCGGTAGTCCGCCGAGTTCTACGAAGGACCTGGGTAAATCCATGTCACGACCAAGACCGTAATAGATTAAGCAAATACATATCATATATACGGAGTTTGCAGCAGAATAATATTGTAATTGAGTTCACAAATAAATAATACATAGTGAGTTCAAATCCGATTAGAGAAAACAATGTAGCTTTGAAATGATTACAATAACGACATAAGTTGAATTACATTGCTAGTGTAACGACCTGAGTTCGTTACATCCTAGGCAGTCATTTTTATCATCCGAGTGAGCAATCATCTGAGCTCTCATACAGATCCCTGATGCCTTGAGCCGAGTCAACTGTTGAGAAAGCTATCGAATCACCCCGCGGAATGTACCCGGATGGCCATTGTCAGGCTCACACCCGAAGCGGTGGTGGAAACCCCAATTGGATTGAGAAGACATCCTATTGACATCATCAACACCAACTCGACCTCAGAGAGTACCTCGAGTTATGGCAACTTAGTCCCCAATACCCAGCCACTCGATGACAGAATCAATTCAGCAAAGACATTAAAGTATCGGACAGTCCGTCCACACTACTGAACCATCCGATGGAACCTAGACCAGCAAAAAGTGAGAAATGAGTTGTTTGCCACTTAAGTGAGTGGGACCCTCATGTCAGCCCGAGTTGGAATATTTCATCAGCTGAAACAACACCCTCTCACTTAATATCTCACTCACCCATTCATTTGCCACTCTCCCTCTCTCTCTACACCCAAGAACAAGGATGAACCCTAGAACTAGAGAGAGAAAGGATTGGAAGGAAGATTGAAGAAGGAGAAGAGGAAGAGGAAGGAAGCACCAACATCACTCCATGAACATCATCAACATCTTTAATCTTGTTCATGGTGAGCTCAAGAAGAGTAGTTCTCATTTCTTGGATTTTCCACCAAGTGCTTAAGTTTTGGTTTTGATGAAGGATTGAAGGATCTCTTGCTGGTGGTGGTTCCATCATATGTAGAGTAAGTTCAACAAACCTTCACCTAGCTCAAGCACTCAAGCATCTCATGGATTAATCTTTGATTCATCTTTTGGTGCCTTGCAAGAGGAAGCCCATGAGTGACCAATCTTTTGGATGAAGAAGTAAGAGTGAGGAAAGCTTGGATCTTCAAGTTTTGGCTACGGAAGCTCTCAGATCTAGAGCTGAGGATTTCATCTCTATCTCAAGCTTGTACCTTCATATCATCCTATCTCTAAATTTTATCCTAAACCTATAGCCACACTTAGCAAAACAAGCTTCAAACCCATCTATCTTAAGCCCAATAAGCCACCTAAGCTACCCCAGAGATATCTTCCACATGCATAGATCACAGCTGAGCACATCTAAGCTTGAACCCAAGATCACCTAAAAACATAGGTTCTATCGACCGTTTGACGGAGTGTCCGTCAAAGTTGACGAAGTGTCCATGTGGGGGGTATAACCCTAGATACTCATGGCAATGGACATGGGCCGCAGTACCAGGGGTGGTCTAGCCCATAAGAAGAAGGCGTGTGATTCAAGACACTGATCGACATGCATCACACGGTTTTAGGAAGGAATCTTGAAGATAGAGAAGGATCTTGTCGGTGTTTCGTACAAGCACCGGCAAGTAAATTTATGGTAATGCGCGTTAGGCCCGGATGGTGCGCTAAAGGACATAGGATTT